GCCCGACCCGGCCGCGAAAGGGCGGCCACCCAGGGCGCCTCCCGCCGCGCCCCGCTCACCGGAGGATGTTGTCGGCGTAGGTGAGGAGCAGCCGCGAAGCCTCCAGGAAGACCTCCCGCCCGTTCTGGCAAAGCTCGTTCACGGCGGGGGAGCCCGCGGAGGAGGAGGGACCCACGGCGGCCGCCATCGCGCCGCCGGGCACGCGCCCCATGCCCCAGCCGGGGAGCGCCGCCCGCAGCCTGCGCTGCGCCGGGAGCGCGCGGCAGCACGCATGCGCAGTGGGAGTGGTGAGGTCACTGCCCTCAGTCCCCGCTCCCGCATCCACCGGGCGGGGCGGCGAGGCCCGGGCGGCGGAGGCCCGCCCTGCCCTGCCCCGGCGGGCTGCCCTGCCCCGGCTGAAGTCGGCGATGTTACAGGAGCTGCTAAACTACTTTGTCCTGACGATTTGAATGACGTTGCGGTCGATATCCTGACCCGCTTGGGCAGGCCAGTGGGGCCTCCCGGTCACCCGCGGCCCTCGGGAGCCCCCGTGGTAGGCGGTGATGTTACCGAGGGGTATAAATCGCCTTTCATACCATCCGAGCGTGCTTGCGGTCTCCGCTGGCGCCCCGCGTTCGGCCTCACCCGGGCTGCCAGGGTGGGAAGGCTGCTGCAGCTGCTCGCCCGCGCCTTGGCACCTCGTCCAGCCCTACCCAAAGCCTGTCCACATGGAAGAAGAAAACACCCTACTTTCTGTCTCTGCTTTGCCTAGTCGTCTGGTTTGTGCTATTAGTGGAAGAACTGCGATGAAGCATCTCAGACAAAAAGGTCTGTGGGACTTTGCTTTCTAAAGAATGCAAGATTTTAAAAGTTCTAAGTACAAGAGGTCTTCAAAATTCAGGCTGGCTTGTGGTTATTAGTTGACATTATGCTCCAGCTCTGCTGTCTGCTTCGCTTCCATGATTTTTTAAGAAGGTGGTACTTAACCCTTACAAAAGCTGAGATTTAACCCAAGGGAACTCACTTTTGCTGAGATAATGGTTATTATTCCTACTAGCATGGTTTAAAAATCACTAATTCAGCCCTCAATATCATGGAATTGGTAGCAAAGTAATAAAATTTTCATTTAAGATGATGCCATGTTCCTTGGCTGCTGCTTCAGCTTTTAACTTCTTTCCCATGCTTTTCATATAGGCATGTGACTGTTAATGTTGGCTGCCTTCTCAAATTTAAAGATTAACTGTATTGCTGTATGTGTAACATAAGTACATGATGCATGTAAGTATAGCATTTGTAAATAATGCTTTGGAAGTGGTCATAGGAAAGGGGTGTGAAAAAATTAGAAAACCAAGTGCAAACTTCCAACAAATGACTAACACCTTAAATGTCCAAGGAATGTTATTTCTAAAGGGAAATTAAATACAGACTTTTCACTTTAAAAAAACCAAAACAAAACACCAAACTTACACAAATGTTTATTTTTTCTTTATTAAATATTGTATTTCCCTCCTTTTTGGCATCTGGGGTTTTTTTTCTTTTTCCTTCAGTAAGTGCTTCAAGTCTTTGTTGATGAGACTTTGGCATGTATTTTATGCTCTGCCATGATAGCTCTTGGACTTGATGTATTTTAGCTATGGTGCCACTGTCTTTCTTAAGTAAAAACTTAATTGTTTCTACATGTCATCTCAGGCATAGCTAGCAGCTTGGTCTCAGTTCAGATCATGCACTACATCTGCAAGCAGCAGCCACAACAAATGGTTTATTTTTGTGTATTGGTGCTGTTGGCATATTTGTACATGTACTTTCAAGACACTCATGTAAAGTCAGTGATCAACTTGTTTTTAACGCTGTCTTCTCTACCAGCATTTCAGCACCCATGTGGAAGAGCACACTTTCATAGAGTCATAGAATCGTTTGGGCTGGAAAAGACCTTAAAGATCATCAAGTCTAACCGTTAATCTAGCACTGCCAAGGCCACCACTAAACCATGTCCCTAAGCACCACATCTATATGTCTTTTAAACCCCTCCAGGGACGGTGACTCAACCACTTCCCTGGGCAGCCTATTCCAATGCTTGACAACCCTTATTGGTGAAGAAATTTTTCCTAATATCCAACCTAAACCTCCCCTGCCACCATTTCCTCTCACTATCACTTGTTACTTGGCAGAAAAGACCAACAACCACCTCGCTACAACCTCCTTTCAGGTAGCTGTAGAGAGCAATAAGGTCTCCCCTCAGCCTCCTTTTCTCCAGACTAAACAATCCCCAGCTCCCTCAGCCGCTCCTCATAAGACTTGTGCTCCAGGCCCCTCACCAACTTTGTTACCCTTCTCTGGACCCGCTCCAGCACCTCAGTGTCTTTCTTGCAGTGAGGGGCCCAAAACTGTGAGCGTGGTATTCGAGGTGCGGCCTCACCAGTGCCGAATACAGGGGGACGATCACTTCCCTAGTCCTGCTGGCCACACTATTTCTGATACAAGCCAGGATGCTTTTGACCTTCTTGGCCACCTGGACACACGGCTGGCTCACATTCAGGCATCTGTCAACCAACACCCCCAGGTCCTTTTCTGCCAGGAATGTGACGGCAAAGTTGGCAGCTGGTTAAGGATGGGGGATCTGACGGATGCAGACAGCAGAAGAGGGATCAGATGAGGACTGGGACTAGAGCAAGGGAACAAAGTGTAGGCAGGAAAACTGTGCTAAGGAATTACTTGTGGTGGAATATAAAATGGGCCTGCAAGAGACTGCAAGGTCCTGAAGAGCTCCTCATGCTCGTCTGTGTGAGAGCCTTGAATTACATGGTTATGCACCGTTTACCGCCGGAGTTTTCACAGTTCCTACCAGCTCAGTGCTGAAATGCGCTGCAGTACGCATGCAGCATTCAGGAAACCGATGGGAAACGACAAGGTTACCCTCACGACCTTAGCGTCACCCTCTTGCGTATTATTCCACTAAGACCGTGGGTTCGCTTGGGGGTTTTTAGTCTTTTTTACTCTTCCTTTGCATGTTTTAAATGCGTGATTTGGGGGCGGGTGTGTGTGTGTGTGTGTGATTCCCTTGTCTTTTCCAGGTCTCGGGGCTACTTAACGCGGGCGCGCTCTGCGCTGGGCCGGGCCGGGCCGCGCCGCCGCCGCCCTA